GGGATGGGTTGTGTGGACCCTTTGTGCCCCCCTGCCCCCCATGCTGCCCCAGCAGGGATGGGAGCAGGGGACTGGGGGAGCGCAGCCCCTGCAGGGACCCCTGGGGCTGACAGTGTTGGCTCGCAGTCAGGTGGTGGCCACCACGCAGATGCAGGCAGCTGATGCACGCAAAGCCTTCCCCTGCTTCGATGAGCCGGCCATGAAAGCCAACTTCACAGTGACACTGATACACCCCTCCAACTATGAGGCAATTTCCAACATGCCTGCTAAGAGTGAGTGGGGCAGGGGAACCCTGGTGGGGGGCTGGGGGCCTGGCAGGGCTGTTAGGTGACCCTCTTCTCCCCACAGGCTCCCAGATGCAGATGATCAATGGGACGAGCTGGAACATCACTGAGTTTGACACCACCCCCAGGATGTCCACGTACCTGCTGGCCTTCATCGTCAGCCAGTTCAAATCCGTGCAGGATGAGTCAGGGAAGACACTGGTAGGATGGGGTGAGGGACACCTCCTACCCATCCGGGGAGCTGAGCCTGAGCCACTGCTGACCCCCATGTCCTTCCCCTCCAGATTCGCATCTGGGGCCGCCCCAAGGCCATCACTGCTAACCAGGGCCAGTATGCACTCAATGTCACCGGCAGCATCCTCAATTTCTTTGAGATGCACTACGACACACCATACCCACTCCCGAAGTCTGGTAGGTGCTGCAGGGTGCTCAGGGTGCTGGGCCAAGGTCCCCACTGCAGGGGAAGCAGGTGGTCCAGCATCTTGTCAGCAGGACACCGATGGGATCTCTTCATCTCCAGACCAGGTCGGCCTCCCCGACTTCAATGCGGGTGCGATGGAGAACTGGGGTCTGGTGACATACCGGGAGAACTCACTGCTCTTCGATGAGGCATACTCCTCCATTGGCAACAAGGAGCGGGTGGTGACCGTCATCGCCCATGAGCTGGCACACCAGGTACCTGCCGTGCTCCCTGACCTCCACCCTGGCTGATGGCTGTCAGCTGACAGGGTGCTGTGCCCCTCACAGTGGTTTGGGAACCTGGTGACACTGAGGTGGTGGAATGACCTGTGGCTGAATGAGGGCTTTGCCTCCTACGTGGAGTACCTGGGTGCTGACTGGGCTGAGAAGTCCTGGAACATCGTGAGTGCTGGGGATGGCGGGCATGGATGTGGGCAGGGGTAGCAGGGTCCCTGGGGGCTGCTCTGGTGTCAGGGGGTGCACACAAGGCTGGGAAAGCGCTGTTGCTCTCACTGCAGAAAGACCTGATGGTGCTGAATGAGGTGCATGCGGTGATGGCAACAGATGCCCTGGCCAGCTCTCACCCGCTCTCCTTTCGTGAGGATGAGATCAACACCCCAGCCCAGATCAGTGAGGTCTTTGACAGCATTGCCTACAGCAAGGTAGGCACAGGGATCCCTGGGGCAGGGGGTGGGCTGTGGGCAG